CTAGATTTCTTTATTTGGTCAATGCTTGCCTGTTCTCTATGTGTGTCCTAGGTGAAGAGGGGGAAAACATACCCACTGTTGCTGCGTCAGAAATGTGCAGTAAACTTGCATAAAGTGTAACTGTGCCTTTATTTAAAAAAAAACGAAAAAGAATGCTCAGATGTATACTATAACTTAAAATCAACATGAAAATAAGGCATATGCATTTTAAACGGAATGCTCCTGAGCTTTTGTACAAAACTTCTCTGAGTTACAAAAATGCCTGCCATGAAGTGGACGCCTCTTTATTCACTAACCTCAAACAAATCTTTCTTTATGATGGCTTTAATAAATGAAGATCCTGAAATGCAACCCCTGAAAAAAGTTGTGTTGGCTAGTTTATACGTAGAGAGGAAACATCATGGGCACAAAAAGTGCTCAAGTGACAGTGTGCACACAGTGCTTTGTGGATCTTCCACACAGAGTTGACCCAATCTGCCATGGTTCCTCTTTCTAGCTGGGATCCCGAAGGACTGGCTTGTAATCCTAATTTTTTATGAAGACTTACATTGAAAGGGTTGGGAGACATTTTAGGGGTCTTTAAATCATTATAAAAACAGTGATACGAGCCAGCCCTGACGGCCTAGTGGTTAAAGTTTGGAGCACTCCAGTTCGGTGGCCCAGGTTTGGTTCCTGGGCACAGAACCACATCACTTTTCTGAAAGTAGCCATGCTGTGGTGTGGCTCACATAGAAGAACTGGAACTTACAGCTATCCACAACTATGTACTGGAGCTTTGTGGGGGTGGGGGAGTGGTGAAGAAGATAAAAGGAGGAAGATTGGAAACAGATGTTGACTTAGGGTGAAACTTCCCCTGCAAAAATACCCACAAAAACAATTATGAAAATAAGAATGGTTAACATTTCTTGAGTGGCAGCTATATGTTAGATACCATCCTAAGTGCTTTATGTCTCATTTATTCTCACACACCCAAGGGCTAGATGCTATTATACCACCTTACACATTTGCAACCCAAGGCTCAGAAATACGGTCCAATGGGCAGGGATGTGATTTCATCCTAGACTTGTCTGACTCCAAATTCTGTTCACTTTCTCTGACAAAGCACTTTCTTCCATTAACGATTTTACTCAAATAATATAAATGAGGGATTGTGTCTAAGACTGACATTCCCATCTACTTCTAGAAGAGTTGTCTGTGACAAAAACAACATAGTGCCTCTTACAAAAATTATTTTATTATTTTTTAGTTGTTTTTATTTGCTCTAATTAGAAAAAAAGTTTTCTGAATTTGAGGTCACACCCACATGACATATAAAAAATCAATTGAAAAGTGAAAGCAGTTGATAATTAGCACATCTGGAATACACATACTTAAACTGGTTTCATTGATTTGTGTTAGTGAATTTACCAGTGTATAGACCTGATCAGCCCAATGTGGCAGCCACTAGCCACATGTGGATGCTGAGTGATTAAATGTGGCTCATCTTAACTGAGAGGAGCTTGTACGTATAGAATACACACCACATTTTGAAATCTTTATACAAAGAACTAAATTATCTCATTTATAATTTTTCACATTGAGTATATGTTGGAAGAATTACAATTTGGATACATTGGGCTAAAAGAAATATTATTAAAATTAATTTTACTTGTTTTTTTTAACATTTTTTTAAATACTAGCATTTGGCTTGCATTATATTTCTATTGGGCAGTACTGGTACAGAACAGTCCAGAAAATAAGATTATGATAGACAGCAGTACTGGGATAATATCTTAAACTTATGAGAAAGCATTTATTTTCTTCTATGTCCATAGCACTCTGCAAGGCACGGGGGATGGAAAGATGAAAAAATCACAATAAACAAGGCCTTCAAGGAATTTATAATTTGGGAAAGGAAACAGAAACATTTATAATGAACTCAAGAGAGGAAGTGAACCAGGAAGGATGCTTGCTGAGGAAGGAAATAGGGAAATAGCCCGTCTTAAAGTTGCAAATTGGTGTTACCTTTACACCCTGCTTCTGCCCTGATCACTGTCAGAAAACCTCACCCGGTCGTCCCGTGGGGGAACTGGCCAGACACAGGGTAGCCACAACCAGAGATTCCCAAACAGTTCAAATGGAGATGTTGCTTGACCAAAGTTTTTAGGGTATCAACAAAATGCACTTATTTTTTTGCTTTAGTAGAGAGGAATATGGCTAGTCTTCACAGTTCAGGGCTCATTAGTACCCCGGAACTTTCTACTCTAAATGACAAAGGGTTTCACTGTCATGAAGAGAAATTGCTGCTGACCTTAGACCTTCTTTTTTTTGGAAAGTGGAATAATGGGGCACAGGAGCAGAGTTTGGGATTTGACTGAATCCTTCACAATTATCATGCATGTGTATATAATAAAATTAATTCTGTGTCTCTGCATCGTAGCCTGCGGCAAGAAGCGTGCAATCAGTTTTGTATGTATAATAGATCACAGAGTTGTTCATGAATAATACAAATGCATTGAGCAGATACTAGTGAGAGAGGATGTTTGTCTTTGCATGGAATCGAAGTGAACATGTAATATTGTGATAATATATATTTGATGAATTCAGGTCTGACTTGCCTTTGCCATACTCTGCTAATTCCCCTACAAGGGTTGCCACAATAATTGAGTTTCCAATAACATTATGATTATTTCCACATGATAATTTAATTGTGGGTATTTTTTAATATTGTAATATTGTAGATTTGTGATTATTATGCATTTGCATGCAGATTTTCATGGTGACTTGGAGCACATCCCTACGTTTATAACTTAATTTTATATATTATTGCATATATATTTGGGGATGAACTCATTAATGCAGATAAAAAAAATGTAGGTTGGTTTAGTCATTCAGCTTTTATTATAAATGGCTGAAAACCTTGCTCATTTTTTATAACAGTCCTTACAATATTGTGAATAAACCAAAGAGAACCTTAATTCAAGAATGGATTCATTAAAAATAATGGTAATAGCTTTAATAATTACAAATTGTAGCATATTTGTTCCACCTAATTGGGATACAAGATACTGTATATTACTCTTTTCAAGATGTAAAAGTTCTGTTTGTTATTTGTTGTCTTTACCACGTGAGCTCCTTACTATTAGGAATGTCGAAAATGTTAACTCAGAATTTAGTCAGTGGAAAATAAGAGAAAACTTTTAAAAAAAGTAAAATTCTCTATAATGTTCACATTATACATCATAAAAACCAGAAATGTATCCCATGGTAAAGATATTTGAGTTAAGTTAGAAAATCAGAGGTACAAAAAAAAAAATAAAACAAAATACTATGAGAGAAGTGAACTCTGGACTAGTTTTTCAGATGAAATAATTTGAAAATAAAACCCACCAAAAATTTGGTGTTAAAGGTATGTATCCTAAAACATCACATATGAGGAAATTGCGTATCTATTGTCACTTAAGAACAACGGAAATGATTACAAGTTTAGAAGAATTTTTTACAAAAAGTAAGGCAGAGAACTGAGGCAATCGCCAGTATAGTAAGCAGGCCAAGAAACGCTTTTAACAAATACGTCCAAATAATTATGAGCAATAAATTTTACTTTTACTTAAGTATTAATCTGGGATGTTAAGAATAGAATGAGGGATTGCTTTTGGTGGGACTAATTTCACTTTAGCTAGCCATGAATTTAAACTGAGAAGGGAGAATGGAAACCATCTCTGACAGGATGGCTGAATTTGAATTGACTGAATTCACCTACTAGATGTGTCCAAGTTAAATGATTTAGCAGAATTCAGCCATTTGTTTTTATCGCAATGTAAATTTCATCTCAGATGATATGAATCAAAATGGTGTATGGAGAGGCCACGTAAAGTTTAATTTTAATTTAGATTTTTGTTAGAGTTTGGTTTTCAAATTCATTAAACATTCGAGAACTGATGTTAAACTGAACTGTGATTTAGTTTCTGCAGGAGGTAGAAGGGTTTCCAAGAACGGTGGCCACCAGAAACTTTCTTATACACGTGTTAGACTTGATAGACATCAAGGTGGAATGAGAACAGTGCTACAGTGGAAATGCAGCCAAGAGCCATCCAGGGGATGACCAGTTGAGGAAGTCTTCTTGATTGGCCTTTTTAGAGAGAGAGAACAGAATTCTGAGAAATGGAGAAGCAAGGAATGACGGGATCGAAGATGATATAAAGGGGCTGGCATGTTAAGGAAAAAGGCATATCTTTGAACTAGACAAATCAGATAAAAACATAACCTCTATGAGCTTTGGCTTCTACATTTATTAAAACGGGGACAAAATAGCTACATTACAGAGTTACTTAAGAATTAGAAATAACACACCTGAAGGAGAATGGCCCAAACCTTGGCATCTAAAAAGCAATTCAATAAATAATAGCAGTAGCTAACATTGATTGAATGCTTACAAAGCACCAAGAGCTCATGTTCCTTTTAGGTAGGAACATAATCTTATCTCTTTGTCCAACTGAGAAAACTCAGAAGCAGAATATTGAGTAAACTGTCCCAGTTCACACTGCTCTTAGGGTCTAGAGGCAGAGTTTAAACCCAGCCATCTGACTCTGGAGCTATCTAAACAGTAGACTTTATAGTATTAAATTATATGGCGTATCATACAAATGGAAAATACCCCATTAGACTCAATTATTTTGATTATGAATTGACTTAGTGACAGGTGAAGCTAGAAATGTAAATTAGGGTAGGGATTAGGATAGATTTTTCTAGGGGAATGGTTCTCCAAGTGTAGTCTTGGGGCCAGTACCATCAGCATCACCCAGGAACTTGTCAGAAATGTAAATTCTTAGGCCCCACCAAGATCTACTAAATCTGAAACTCTGGCAGTAGGGCCCAGCAGACTGTATTCATAAGCTTTCTTGTTGGTTCAGATGCGTGCTCAAGTGTGGAAACCACTGCTCTGGGTAATGTGGAAACCATTGTGACATGGTTTGACCTATACTTTAGGAGGGTGATCGGTGACAGACCAAAGGCAGGGAACTAATTAGGGGTCTACTTGAGTCATTCAGATGAGAGTTACTAAAGGACTGACACTGGCATTACCAGTGTCTCCAAAAACAGAGAGATAAATAGCAATAAGAATCAAAACATGAAAACATGACAACTGACTGAATAGAACGAGAGGTAAAGGGGAAGAAAACATTGAGGATATGGATGTCTCCATCCTGGGAGGCAGATGGACTTGGTGTCATTGATTAACACAGGAGAAAATAAGGAAAAACCTGGGAAGCCCCTCTTCAGGCTCCCTTAGTCATGATTATGGTTTCAGATCAGTTACTAATCTCTTTTCAACCTGTAAGTCAATTGTGAGCCTATCATTTTTGTTCTTACATAACTTACAATTGTCTGCTTCCAGTTGTCTTTGCAAATGTCTAAAGAATTGAACAATTTTTCTCTTCCATAAACTTTCATGAACCTATCCTCCTAATACATTTCTGTCATAGGATTTAGAGTCTGAAGAGAGATCTTTTTTTACATCTCTCTAGGTCTACTTTTTCTTTTTCTGCTGGGGAAGATTAGCCTGGGGATAACATCTGTTGCCAATCTTCCTCTTTCTTTTGCTTGAGGAAGATTAGCCCAGAGCTAACATCTGTGTCCATCTTCCTCCTTTTTATATATGGGTGGCTGCCACAACATGGCTGATGAGTGTTATAGGTCCACATCCAGGATCTGAACCCGTGAACCTGGGCCGCCAAAACAGAACACACTGAACTTAACCACTATGCCATAGGGCTGGCCCAAAGAGAGATTTTGAAAGCCTGTGTCCTGCACTATTGCCTTCCTGAAGGCAAGACAAGAAGCCTAGTCTAGTGAGAACATTCCAGAGAAAGATCTCAGCTGATTTATGCTCTACACCTTGTCCCTCATCAGTCACTTTTTTATATATTAGAAAGTTCTTCAGTTTTTCCTAGTTTTAGTTTCCTCATCAGAAAAATAGGGATGCGGATATTTGAGATTACAAAAGAAAGTATTTGAAAACCATTAAATGCCATACATGTCCAAGCTGGGATTATCAGCCATTTTTTGAGCAAAATGTTAAAATCAAGAGATCCCACAAGGAGGAAATAGTTGGTGAACTAAGTCATTTATTTTCAGAGAAAATGTACTTTCTCCTTTGTCACACTTTCTCTGAGACAATAACAGGATTTTTCATTTTTCTTGCCCAAGTAGGAGCGTCCTGAACAATGAAGAAAGCAATAGAAGGAACGCTTTGAAAACTGTCATTTCTAGTAAAAATATTTGAGAAATAATCAATCTACAACGTCAACTTTTGCATTCATTCTCGTTCTTGGTGATTGACCCCTCAAATGAACTTGCGTCTGCATACTTTAGTCCGAAAAGAGAAAGTCCTATGGAAAAAAAGCTGGTGGGGTTTGGGGAGGGGAAGCACAGATTCTAAAGCGAGCCCAGCGTATTGGGGTGAAGGTTCCTTTACAGAACCTCTTCGTTTTGCAGTCAGATATGCCCAACACCCAAGCTATTTGTTCCCTCAGGGTAACAAGAAAATAATATTATATATACATATATATGTATATAGCGCTAATTCATTAATTCTTAATAAATGTACCTGAAGAATTATAAATATCTAAGTAATTTTACTAGTATAAATACATATTATTAGAAATGAAATTTATGCAATTACCATATAGAAACACTAACCTTGAGTCGCCATGCCTACTGTCATATTCAATGACTATTGAATATTCTCATTAAACTTCATGTTTAGCTATTACCTGAAATTATCGCTGTTCTTCCAGCACTCTCTTATTCTGATGAGTGAGTCCACACACGTATGTTCACTCCTGTGGGAACGGTTGTTACTGATAAGCTCCTCCCTAACAGAGCTTTTTCTTCCCCTGCAGGTGAGGGTTGCTGCCTGGCAGTGCCTACACATTTGGAAAGGAGCCACATCATGCTGTTTGCTTTTGATCCTCCGGGAATGATTCGACGCACTGCTGAGGCAAAAGGTGCCCGGGCAGATCGGCAGCTGCCAATCTCCTCTTCACAAAATATTGGGCCTGCAGCTCCTCAGAAGCACTGTACAATTCTTAGTGAAAGGTTGACTTGGTAAATCCTATTTAAATTCTGACTCCAATAAGTAACCCAAAAGAGGCTGGGGGTTCTTTTTCCTATTTGTTTTTCTTGTTGTTGTTTTAAATTCCTTGACAAGTTTTGTGTCTTTGTAGCACTATCCCTGAGTCTGAGAGGGAGCAACAATCTACACGTTGGTCCACATCAGTGCCTGAGAAGCAGAGAATTTCTTTAGGTTTAATGACTGGACTTTTCCATAGCAAAGTAGCGAAACTCCAGCTAGTGATTAATCCCAGGAAAATGCCCTGATACTTGTTATTGATTTCAAGAGCTGAGAAAAAATATATACCTCCCATGATTGACTTATAGATGCAAAGGCTCCATTTATTCTTAGTAGTAGTAATAATGATATGCTCCTGTGGTGCATTGGTGACACACATACCTTGCCCTTCGGGTCCTTTGTGCAGAATAAGAACAAGAAGAAGTGCCCTCATTTGCATTGACTTCCCATGGGGGTTCTATAGGCAAGGGGATTTTTTTTCACATCTCTGAGGGTAGTCAAGACCTCACTGAGAATGGAATGTCTAAGAAATTACTGCCCTGCACATTGGCCAATCAGATTTCTTGAATAATTGCTCAACATTCCATTTGCCTTATTACATTGTGTATCATTTTAATTTCCTCCAGGTAATCATATGACGGATCTCTCAGGCACATAAGGCGCTCGTTTTCTCCTGTGCAACAGCTGTAAACAAAGGACTGCATGTTCAAGAGAAGAAAACAAAAATGGAAGAGTCAAAACACATTAAACAAGCTTAATTTGTTTGAGCATATTTTATGCTCCTCATCATCCCCGGTGGTTTCCTGTTGTGAAATGATGCATTTTGTTTTCAAAATTACAAACTTGTGATTAAAAATAAGGCATTTTTACTGTGAGGTCACATTCCAGGCATATTATCATATGTCTCCTTCTTATGTGTGGCTTTCACCAGAAGAAAGACCCACTTTGTGTGCCTTTTTATTTTAGGACCATGTGATGGCAGAGCCATCTTGAAATTCTTTTCAAAGAATTTGCTACTTGCCAAAATTCTGTGAAATACCCTGCAAGTCAGCCAGTTATTTTGTCTATAGAATACAAATTAAACTTTTTGACGTATAATTTTCCCATGAGTTTGGCATTTGAGCTTAGAAGTGTGTGACTATTTAGAATTTGTTAAAGGATCATTGTTTTATTTAGGACACAGAGGGTTTCTTCAAATGGGAAGAAATAAGCAACAACTGCTTAAGTCAAAGAAGTCATCCTCCAAAACAAGAGGAACCACAGATTGAACTCGCATTATATGATTATAGTAGCAGTCATAGCTAACAGCCGTGAGTCCTTACGCTCTGCCAGGCACTACTCCGAGTACTTTGCATATATGAATTAGCACTTATACAAAAAATTGGGGTTTTTTTATTAGCCAACCTTAAAATTGGGGTTTCAATTCCATTTGTTATCAGGAATTAATGAAACTAAGCTTTCTTCATGAAACAAATTCCGTGAATAAATATATACTTTTCTGTTTTACATATCATTAGAACCTGACTAATTGACTCTTGTCAGTCAGTTATAGGGTGCAGATTTTGTTTTTCAAGATTTTATTTTTCCTTTTTCTCACCAAAACCCCCCAGTACCTAGTTGTATATTTTTAGTTGTGGGTCCTTCTAGCTGTGACATGTAGGACGCTGCCCCAGCACGGCTCGATGAGCAGTGCCATGTCTGCTCCCAGAAGCCAAACCGGCGAGACCCTGGGCCACTGAAGTGGAGCGCGCAACTCAACCACTTGGCCGTGGGGCTGGCGCCAGGATACAGATTTCTTTTTTTTTTTTTAAAGATTTTATTTTATTTTTTTTCTCCCCAAAGCCCCTCAGTACACAGTTGTATATTCTTTGTTGTGGGTCCTTCTAGTTGTGGCATGTGGGACGTCGCCTCAGCATGGTTCGATGAGCAGTGCCGTGTCTGTGCCCAGGATTCGAACCAATGAAACACTGGGCCATCTGCAGCGGAGTGCACGAACTTAACCACTTGGCCACGGGGCCAGCCCCCAGATTTCATTTTTATTTTACATAAAACAAACAATTAATTATAAATCGTTTCCAGTTGTAAATGTGATATAACTCCCTTTAAGACAATATGAAGAGAAAGACAATTGCCCACAATTCAATTGGTTTTAAGCATCAGCTTTGGAGTAACAGAATTGGATTCAGGCCCTTGTTCTGTTACCCTGTATAAACATCAGCAAATAATCAGCCACATTAAGCCTCAATTCTGGATCTGCAAAGTGAATAGACTAGCATCAACTTCTGGGCATTCCTCTGAGATAAGTCAGTTTTAAAGTATGAACAGGGGCTGGAACACGGTAGATAATAAAGTTACTCTCCTTATTGTTATTGAAATATAAACATGGTGGCACTTCAGGTTTTAAGTTCTTATTTTTACTTATTTATTTATTTAATCACTGAACAAATATAATTTGGAAACCTAATGTTTTCTTCTTTTTCTATATTTCTAAAGTTTTTATAACCATAATTTTCAAAGTTCTAAAAACGTGAAGATCTTACATTTTTGAACTCTGAAGACATTCGTCTTCGATTCTCTTTTGGACTCTAGAATACTGGTTTGAGAGTCTTCCTTAGAGCATCCTGATTCTTCAGAGGAGCCTTACAGGCAGCTCAGGTGGGTGGTTGGACATCATCCAAGCTTTTATGGGTTTGGGGGCTCACTATAAGGATTCTATTTCTTTTAATTTTGCCTTTGATAAATTAGTATCCCAAGTGCAACTAAGCATTATTGGATTGCCTTTCAACAACGTGGAGAAGCAGAAAGGTCAGAGGCTCTAGAGTCGGCCGTGCCTGGTTTGGCACTGTGGTTTGCCTGCTTCCTGGCAAGTGGACTTGGGAAAATCACCCACTTTCTTTGAGTATCAGTTTCCTCATCTGCAGAAGGAAGTTACTAATATTTAGGTTTTAGGACTGATGGAAGGATTGAAGGAAGCAATTATATAAAGTTCTTGGCGTTTAGTAGTTCTTGGCATTCCTTCACCATACACTAAAATCACACTTATTTACAAAGGCTTTTTGTGATACGTATACATGTGTATATATGTATACTTACATATGTAAATGCACATGTGTTTATAAATGTGAAACAGAAACAATAGATAGCATTACTTTTCAAAGCAATGCATACATGGCTTTTCAAAAGAAATACTTTACTAAATGAAATTTTCTGTGGATCAAACTGAACGATATTAGCTCAGTCAAGCGTGGCAGAGCACTCTCAAATAATTAACCTTTTAAAGTTACACATTTGTTCAAAAATTATATTCAACCGAAAACATAAAACAGCCAAAAAGTCCCAAGTAACCTGTCCATCTTTATTTGCTGTGTGCATCTGTCGATTATTAGACTTTATCAGTTCTATTGCCAAGAAGCATCTTGGATCCCAAATGTAAGTTGTTTCTAAATAAGAAGTACATTTTCTTTGTAGTATCATTTCTAGTTAAAGTTGAATTCCTTGTTAATTCTATTTGTACAATAGATGTTCATTATTTAAATAATATAATGCTGTGTTGTATGATTAATGAGTTTGAGTTCCAAGTTGAAAGTAAGAAATTTGGTTCTTGTTTATCAAGAGAGGCATGCTCCATGAGTTTATATGAGAGTGACTATTACGCCATACAATGGTTCTCGATGGGACAGTCTTGCCCTTGGGGACAATTAGGACATTTGTGGGGACGTTGCTGGTCATCACAGTGATTGAAAGGGTGCTGGTAGCATTTAGTGGGCAGCGGCCGGAGGACTCGCTTGTCACTGCAGTATGTGGGACAGTCCTGCTCTACAGGCATCCCCTGTGTGGCACATGACTTCTGCTAGCGTTGCTGGAAATTCCTGAAGAAGAATGTCTGTTGATCTGCACCTAGAGCCTAACTAGAGTAACACGGACAAACAGTTGCTGACATTGTTGATTTTTGTTTTATGGTTTTTTACTCACTTTTAATCTACATTGAATGATCTTGGAAAACAACTGACAGATAAATTTAGAAAAGATGTCACTTGACTTCTTTTAGAAAATTACCATGATTTGTTCACCACTTTAGAAAATCACATCCCTTGACTGCAATACTACTCTTCATCACTCGGTCACCGGTATAGCCCATCTGTATCATTCTACATTTAAAGCATTCACGGCTTTTCAGTGATAAATTTCTGACTTCTTTGTTATATCTTCTATTATTGTAGTGTTAAATATTTACGTAATAAAATGCACATTTTACTGTAAAATATTTTCTTTTTATTACTCCTTTATGTTAAACTCAGTGTTTTGCACTAATTTTTTTAATTACATTTTTAGGTGGCTTATATTATCTATGAATTTCATTTCAGGACGATAAAGGAGGAATTACAAAATATCCAATATTAAATAGAGGACTTAGTCAGGTGGGGCTGAGAACCACTCATACAGTGGTCTCCATGCAAACTCTGGCGTGAGTGGCATTCGTGGGTTCTAACTCAGTTCTGCTACTACCTCAGACAACTCTATTAACAAGTCAGAGCTACAATGGTCTCATCTATAAAATAAGATCAATAAGAGAACCTGTCTTATATGGTTGTTGACAAGATTACATGAGTTAATTCAGGTAAGACTCAATGCATTCTAAGCGTTCAATGAACATTAACTATAATTGCATTTATTATGGGGATATCTACTCATTTTACGCTGAGATGAATAGCACTGGTTTTTGTTTCATTTTTTTGTGTGTGAGGAAGATTGGCCCTGACCTAACAGCCATTACCAATCTTCCTCTTTTTGCCTGAGGAAGATTGTCCCTGAGCTAACATCTGTGCCAGTCTTCCTCTATTGTGTATGTGGGATGTCGCCACAGCATGGCTTGACGAGCAGTGTGTAGTTCCACTCACAGGATCTAAACTCTTGAACTCCAGGCCATCAAAGCAGAGCATGTGAACTTAACTACTTCACCACCAGGCCAGCCCCAATAGCACTGTTTACTTTTTCTTTGTCAGTTTGTTTGTGTGTTTGATTTTTGTTTCAAAATGACCTATGTAATGTAGCATTCTTAAGGGCATGGTCAACAGAGCATGATGAAGATAATGATCTTCATGCAAGGTGCTGGGTATTTTCCCAATTTCAATCTTTCGTCACCCTGTTAGACAGGGACTATGTGGTCACATTTACGCTTGGGGAAAAATGACTAGTTGGAATGCTGTTTGGAGGCCTGAGTGAAGAGTGATGAAGAGTGCACGTGAGAAGAACCCTTAGGGGGATCTTATCCAATGAGACCCAGGGGCAGCCTGGACTGGGATGGTGGCTGTGGAGACACAAGGAAGAGTGGACATCCTTGAGGGATGGTAGAAATAGCAAGTACAAGCAGCAAGACTTTGCAATGGATTACCTTGGGGTGGGATATGAGGCAAAGGAGGATGTCAAGTGTGACCCCAAATTTCTATCTTGGAAATCTGTATGGTTAGGAAATACTTAAAAAGATCAAATATAGATAAATTGATTCAAATTAAAGTGGCAAATCTAAATGTGCCTCCAGAGAAATGGCAGTAACAGATCCCTCCTCACAGGGTTGTGAGAGGAATAAATAAGCTTAAAAATGTGAAGTGGTTATTATAACATTAGGCATCAATAAGCATTCAATAAGTGGTAGTTATTATTATCATAAAATAATAACAATAATAGATAATAGGCAATAATTTACAACTAATTCAAAATAATTTCAAGAGCTGAGAATTTATCTAGTTCATTAACTTCCTGTGATCGTTTCTCTTCCTCATCAGAAAGACCATGAGGGATTCTTGTCTATTTTGTTGAACTCAGACTGATAGGAGAGTGGTTCTACCTTACAACTGATGCAATTTACTTCATGGTTTATATATCTCTGTGCTTGATTGTTTACTGGAAGAAAATAATTTTTTAATCCACACTTTTTCATAAGTCCTTGTCTCTTTTAAACAATTTTAAGCATTATATTTATTTGAACATGTCACTAAAAGAGGAATACATTTTCAAAGAATTATTGTTTTCATATTTCC